CACATGCCAGCCAGCCCCGCCCCCTGGTGGGCTGAGCTGGCCACACACACACACACACACACACACATAAATAAAAAAAATTAAAAAAAAAAAAAAGAACAATCATGTCAGCACTTTAGAAACTGACAAAAGACACTCAACAATCTGAAAAGCAATTATGCTTATAAAACAACTTTCATAAGATTGAAGCTCTGTTTTTTTTTTTTTTTTCCTAGCGGTTCTTTTCGCTGTCCCATCCCATATACAATTGTCTATACAATTACTCTCCCTAATGATCTAAAAGTGAGGGTCAGGGGACTGGGGCAGGTCCACACTTGACTCTTAACCTGCAATGTTAGGGTCCCCACAACTCTGTCAGCATCTGAGTGCCTGGGGTGGGCATGAGGTGGGAAGGGTAATAGAATGCTCATGGGTGTGAGGGAGAAGGTCGGGAATGACTACCGTTTGAGAAAAGGCCAGTGGCCAGCCCTCTTTCCTTCTGCCTGAGGAGGCTATGGCCTCTTCCTCAGAAAAAGTGTATCACACAGTCCTCTAACTACCCCTCATTCTGATGGCAGAAACTGAGCAGAAATAAGGTCATCTTTCAAGGCATCAGGAATAGATGTGGAATTGTCAAAAGGCCCAAATTAAGAAGGTAAGTAGAACTGGGGCTGGCATGCACACTCAACCAAGAAAGGTACAAAGCATACAAAAGAACAGCTGTTTTTCCACAGGATTTTTCAGAGGGAGGGGTGTTAGTGTTGAAGCTGCTTCAGACTGTGTAGGGCCTCAGCGTAGGCCCGAATAAGGCCACACAGCTGGATGCTAGTCTCCAGGGACGCACTAGAGCCCAGCTCTGCTGAGGCCCAGGTCAGCTTCTGTAGAAGGGCCATCTGTGTGCAAGCCACCACATCTGCATCTGGAGGCATAGCAGGAGGTGGCCCCTGAGCTGCCTTCAACCCTGATGCAGCTCCCTCACAGTTCTCTGGCTGGGGTACTGGGTGCTGAGCTGCGAGCCTAAGGGTGGCAGAGGAGAGCTGGTGCTCCTGAGCTTGGGAGAGGGCAGCCTGGGCATTCAGTGCTGGATTATCTTTATCCACATCTGAATCAGGCCACGCAGATTTTCCGCTGTTTGTCTTGGAGGACTGTCCTGCAGTCCGTGCACATCATCCAGCATGTGGTAACCACACAGTAGATATTTGCCCATGAGCCGGGATATGCAATCCTGTCACTCTCACCGTGCCTGCAGCACCTTCGTCTCCACCTCAGGGGGAGGGCTGTGGGGGGGCTCCCAGGAGAAAACGTGGACTTCTGTGCCATTCAAGGCCATGTCGCAGTTGTCACTGATGAGTGCAACAGGAAGTGATGCACAGACTGAAGCTCTAATTTTCTTACGTGAAGCTACTCTCCATTCCTCTCCTACTCAGTTGGAGTCTACCATGAAGGGACAGGCTGTGAGAACCATTGTCTTCCTCATGGAGGAGGGAATTTTTCTACTCGACTTTATGTGGCAGGCAAGGCCCACTCTCAGTGATACTGCTGGTAGACATGAGGATCTCAAACACAGGTAATTAGGAAGAGCTAAAAGTTCTATTAGCCTAGGTTGTGGTTATAAGTGAGATAAGCATGCCCCTGGATAAGACTACGTAGCAAGGGAGATGCAAAAGGCTCAAAGTTGGCCAAATATTTTTGGCCCATCCTGAGGCAAATGCACTTCAATGAAAAAGGATCCTTTTGCTGTCAAGGACAATGAGGATTCAGGACATAAGAGAACCTGTGCTATGACATCCTGTAATTCAGTGGTGTCCCAACTTTTCGGTTCAAGAAGATTATGGCGCCACAGAGGATTGACGATGTATAGTGTGCCTAAGGAAGGAGAGTCACCTAGAGAGAATATCTCTCAGGCCTTTACAGAGAGCAAACTGGTCAAGCAATGTCTGTGACTCATCCAGATGGCTGACACTGACAAAAAAGCTGCTCTACACGGTTTCAGGGTAAATCCTGAGGGGGTTTGACTGACCTTGTCAGATACAAAGTTACATTTTTAGTTATATAGGTCTTGATTTAATTTGGTCTTAACCATCCAGCAGAAAAATGTAACCACAAGATATAAGAAGTAATTCCATATTAATATGCTGAGCTGTAAAAGGATCAAGTCAAAAACTTCTGACAATTTCCAGTTTTGCTGATAACCCACAACTATTATGAACTATTGGACTATACTGGGATATTGTGCTGAATTCAAGTACCTACAATATTTGAACTGGTGTCAAGTATGAAAAGGTCCTTTAAAGACTTCTCCAAATACA